TGAGTTAGGCTAAGTTGAGTTAGGCTAAGTTGAGTTAGGCTAAGTTGAGTTAGGCTAAGTGAGTTAGGCTAAGTTGAGTTAGGCTAAGTTGAGTTAGGCTAAGTTGAGTTAGGCTAAGTTGAGTTAGGCTAAGTTGAGTTAGGCTAAGTTGAGTTAGGCTAAGTTGAGTTAGGCTAAGTTGAGTTAGGCTAAGTTGAGTTAGGCTAAGTTGAGTTAGGCTAAGTTGAGTTAGGCTAAGTTGAGTTAGGCTAAGTTGAGTTAGGCTAAGGTGAGTTAGGCTAAGGTGAGTTAGGCTAAGTTGAGTTAGGCTAAGTTGAGTTAGGCTAAGTTGAGTTAGGCTAAGTTGAGTTAGGCTAAGTTGAGTTAGGCTAAGGTGAGTTAGGCTAAGTTGAGTTAGGCTAAGTTGAGTTAGGCTAAGTTGAGTTAGGCTAAGTTGAGTTAGGCTAAGTTGAGTTAGGCTAAGTTGAGTTAGGCTAAGTTGAGTTAGGCTAAGTTAATTTGGCTAAGTTGAGTTAGGCTAAGTTGAGTTAGGCTTAGTTGAGTTAGGCTAAGTTGAGTTAGGCTAAGTTGAGTTAGGCTAAGTTGAGTTAGGCTAAGTTGAGTTAGGCTAAGTTGAGTTAGGCTAAGTTGAGTTAGGCTAAGTTGAGTTAGGCTAAGTTGAGTTAGGCTAAGTTGAGTTAGGCTAAGTTGAGTTAGGCTAAGTTGAGTTAGGCTAAGTTGAGTTAGGCTAAGTTGAGTTAGGCTAAGTTGAGTTAGGCTAAGTTGAGTTAGGCTAAGTTGAGTTAGGCTAAGTTGAGTTAGGCTAAGTTGAGTTAGGCTAAGTTGAGTTAGGCTAAGTTGAGTTAGGCTAAGTTGAGTTAGGCTAAGTTGAGTTAGGCTAAGTTGAGTTAGGCTAAGTTGAGTTAGGCTAAGTTGAGTTAGGCTAAGTCGAGTTAGGCTAAGTTAATTTAGCTAAGTTGAGTTAGGCTAAGTTGAGTTAGGCTAAGTTAAGTTAGGCTAAGTTGAGTTAGGCTAAGTTGAGTTAGGCTAAGTTGAGTTAGGCTAAGTTGAGTTAGGCTAAGTTGAGTTAGGCTAAGTTGAGTTAGGCTAAGTTGAGTTAGGCTAAGTTGAGTTAGGCTAAGTTGAGTTAGGCTAAGTTGAGTTAGGCTAAGTTAAGTTAGGCTAAGTTGAGTTAGGCTAAGTTGAGTTAGGCTAAGTTGAGTTAGGCTAAGTTGAGTTAGGCTAAGTTGAGTTAGGCTAAGTTGTGTTAGGCTAAGTTGAGTTAGGCTAAGTTGAGTTAGGCTAAGTTGAGTTAGGCTAAGTTGAGTTAGGCTAAGTTGAGTTAGGCTAAGTTGAGTTAGGCTAAGTTGAGTTAGGCTAAGTTGAGTTAGGCTAAGTTGAGTTAGGCTAAGTTGAGTTAGGCTAAGTTGGGTTAGGCTAAGTTGAGTTAGGCTAAGTTGAGTTAGGCTAAGTTGAGTTAGGCTAAGTTGAGTTAGGCTAAGTTGAGTTAGGCTAAGTTGAGTTAGGCTAAGTTGAGTTAGGCTAAGTTGAGTTAGGCTAAGTTGAGTTAGGCTAAGTTGAGTTAGGCTAAGTTGAGTAAGTTAGGCTAAGTTGAGTTAGGCTAAGTTGAGTTAGGCTAAGTTGAGTTAGGCTGAGTTAGGCTTGAGTTAGGCTAAGTTGAGTTAGGCTAAGTTGAGTTAGGCTAAGTTGAGTTAGGCTAAGTTGAGTTAGGCTAAGTTGAGTTAGGCTAAGTTGAGTTAGGCTAAGTTGAGTTAGGCTAAGTTGAGTTAGGCTAAGTTGAGTTAGGCTAAGTTGAGTTAGGCTAAGTTGAGTTAGGCTAAGTTGAGTTAGGCTAAGTTGAGTTAGGCTAAGTTGAGTTAGGCTAAGTTGAGTTAGGCTAAGTTGAGTTAGGCTAAGTTGAGTTAGGCTAAGTTGAGTTAGGCTAAGTTGAGTTAGGCTAAGTTGAGTTAGGCTAAGTTGAGTTAGGCTAAGTTGAGCTAAGTTGAGTTAGGCTAAGTTGAGTTAGGCTAAGTTGAGTTAGGCTAAGTTGAGTTAGGCTAAGTTGAGTTAGGCTAAGTTGAGTTAGGCTAAGTTGAGTTAGGCTAAGTTGAGTTAGGCTAAGTTGAGTTAGGCTAAGTGAGTTGAGTTAGGCTAAGTTGAGTTAGGCTAAGTTGAGTTAGGCTAAGTTGAGTTAGGCTAAGTTGAGTTAGGCTAAGTTGAGTTAGGCTAAGTTGAGTTAGGCTAAGTTGAGTTAGGCTAAGTTGAGTTAGGCTAAGTTGAGTTAGGCTAAGTTAGGAGTTAGGCTAAGTTGAGTTAGGCTAAGTTGAGTTAGGCTAAGTTGAGTTAGGCTAAGTTGAGTTAGGCTAAGTTGAGTTAGGCTAAGTTGAGTTAGGCTAAGTTGAGTTAGGCTAAGTTGAGTTAGGCTAAGTTGAGTTAGGCTAAGTTGAGTTAGGCTAAGTTGAGTTAGGCTAAGTTGAGTTAGGCTAAGTTGAGTTAGGCTAAGTTGAGTTAGGCTAAGTTGAGTTAGGCTAAGTTGAGTTAGGCTAAGTTGAGTTAGGCTAAGTTGAGTTAGGCTAAGTTGAGTTAGGCTAAGTTGAGTTAGGCTAAGTTGAGTTAGGCTAAGTTTGCTAAGTTAGGCTAAGTGAGTTAGGCTAAGTTGAGTTAGGCTAAGTTGAGTTAGGCTAAGTTGAGTTAGGCTAAGTTGAGTTAGGCTAAGTTGAGGCTTAGTTGAGTTAGGCTAAGTTGAGTTAGGCTAAGTTGAGTTAGGCTAAGTTGAGTTAGGCTAAGTTGAGTTAGGCTAAGTTGAGTTAGGCTAAGTTGAGTTAGGCTAAGTTGAGTTAGGCTAAGTTGAGTTAGGCTAAGTTGAGTTAGGCTAAGTTGAGTTAGGCTAAGTTGAGTTAGGCTAAGTTGAGTTAGGCTAAGTTGAGTTAGGCTAAAGTGAGTTAGGCTAAGTTGAGTTAGGCTAAGTTGAGTTAGGCTAAGTTGAGTTAGGCTAAGTTGAGTTAGGCTAAGTTGAGTTAGGCTAAGTTGAGTTAGGCTAAGTTGAGTTAGGCTAAGTTGAGTTAGGCTAAGTTGAGTTAGGCTAAGTTGAGTTAGGCTAAGTTGAGTTAGGCTAAGTTGAGTTAGGCTAAGTTGAGTTAGGCTAAGTTGAGTTAGGCTAAGTTGAGTTAGGCTAAGTTGAGTTAGGCTAAGTTGAGTTAGGCTAAGTTGAGTTAGGCTAAGTTGAGTTAGGCTAAGTTGAGTTAGGCTAAGTTGAGTTAGGCTAAGTTGAGTTAGGCTAAGTTGAGTTAGGCTAAGTGAGTTAGGCTAAGTTGAGTTAGGCTAAGTAAGTTGAGTTAGGCTAAGTTGAGTTAGGCTAAGTTGAGTTAGGCTAAGTTGAGTTAGGCTAAGTTGAGTTAGGCTAAGTTGAGTTGAGCTAAGTTGAGTTAGGCTAAGTTGAGTTAGGCTAAGTTGAGTTAGGCTAAGTTGAGTTAGGCTAAGTTGAGTTAGGCTAAGTTGAGTTAGGCTAAGTTGAGTTAGGCTAAGTTGAGTTAGGCTAAGTTGAGTTAGGCTAAGTTGAGTTAGGCTAAGTTGAGTTAGGCTAAGTTGAGTTAGGCTAAGTTGAGTTAGGCTAAGTTGAGTTAGGCTAAGTTGAGTTAGGCTAAGTTGAGTTAGGCTAAGTTGAGTTAGGCTAAGTTGAGTTAGGCTAAGTTGAGTTAGGCTAAGTTGAGTTAGGCTAAGTTGAGTTAGGCTAAGTTGAGTTAGGCTAAGTTGAGTTAGGCTAAGTTGAGTTAGGCTAAGTTGAGTTAGGCTAAGTTGAGTTAGGCTAAGTTGAGTTAGGCTAAGTTGAGTTAGGCTAAGTTGAGTTAGGCTAAGTTGAGTTAGGCTAAGTTGAGTTAGGCTAAGTTGAGTTAGGCTAAGTTGAGTTAGGCTAAGTTGAGTTAGGCTAAGTTGAGTTAGGCTAAGTTGAGTTAGGCTAAGTTGAGTTAGGCTAAGTTGAGTTAGGCTAAGTTGAGTTAGCTAAGGCTAAGTTGAGTTAGGCTAAGTTGAGTTAGGCTAAGTTGAGTTAGGCTAAGTTGAGTTAGGCTAAGTTGAGTTAGGCTAAGTTGAGTTAGGCTAAGTGAGTTAGGTTAGTTGAGTTAGGCTAAGTTGAGTTAGGCTAAGTTGAGTTAGGCTAAGTTGAGTTAGGCTAAGTTGAGTTAGGCTAAGTTGAGTTAGGCTAAGTTGAGTTAGGCTAAGTTGAGTTAGGCTAAGTTGAGTTAGGCTAAGTTGAGTTAGGCTAAGTTGAGTTAGGCTAAGTTGAGTTAGGCTAAGTTGAGTTAGGCTAGTTGAGTTAGGCTAAGTTGAGTTAGGCTAAGTTGAGTTAGGCTAAGTTGAGTTAGGCTAAGTTGAGTTAGGCTAAGTTGAGTTAGGCTAAGTTGAGTTAGGCTAAGTTGAGTTAGGCTAAGTTGAGTTTAGGCTAAGTTGAGTTAGGCTAAGTTGAGTTAGGCTAAGTTGAGTTAGGCTAAGTTGAGTTAGGCTAAGTTTGAGTTAGGCTAAGTTGAGTTAGGCTAAGTTGAGTTAGGCTAAGTTGAGTTAGGCTAAGTTGAGTTAGGCTAAGTTGAGTTAGGCTAAGTTGAGTTAGGCTAAGTTGAGTTAGGCTAAGTTGAGTTAGGCTAAGTTGAGTTAGGCTAAGTTGAGTTAGGCTAAGTTGAGTTAGGCTAAGTTGAGTTAGGCTAAGTTGAGTTAGGCTAAGTTGAGTTAGGCTAAGTTGAGTTAGGCTAAGTTGAGTTAGGCTAAGTTGAGTTAGGCTAAGTTGAGTTAGGCTAAGTTGAGTTAGGCTAAGTTGAGTTAGGCTAAGTTGAGTTAGGCTAAGTTGAGTTAGGCTAAGTTGAGTTAGGCTAAGTTGAGTTAGGCTAAGTTGAGTTAGGCTAAGTTGAGTTAGGCTAAGTTGAGTTAGGCTAAGTTGAGTTAGGCTAAGTTGAGTTAGGCTAAGTTGAGTTAGGCTAAGTTGAGTTAGGCTAAGTTGAGTTAGGCTAAGTTGAGTTAGGCTAAGTTGAGTTAGGCTAAGTTGAGTTAGGCTAAGTTAAGTTAGGCTAAGTTGAGTTAGGCTAAGTTGAGTTAGGCTAAGTTGAGTTAGGCTAAGTTGATTTAGGCTAAGTTGAGTTAGGCTAAGTAAATTTGGCTAAGTTGAGTTAGGCTAAGTTGAGTTAGGCTAAGTTGAGTTAGGCTAAGTTGAGTTAGGCTAAGTTGAGTTAGGCTAAGTTGAGTTAGGCTAAAGTGAGTTAGGCTAAGTTGAGTTAGGCTAAGTTGAGTTAGGCTAAGTTGAGTTAGGCTAAGTTGAGTTAGGCTAAGTTTGAGTTAGGCTAAGTTGCTAAGTTGAGTTAGGCTAAGTTGAGTTAGGCTAAGTTGAGTTAGGCTAAGTTAGGCTAAGTTAGGCTAAGTTGAGTTAGGCTAAGTTGAGTTAGGCTAAGTTGAGTTAGGCTAAGTTGAGTTAGGCTAAGTTGAGTTAGGCTAAGTTGAGTTAGGCTAAGTTGAGTTAGGCTAAGTTGAGTTAGGCTAAGTTGAGTTAGGCTAAGTTGAGTTAGGCTAAGTTGAGTTAGGCTAAGTTGAGTTAGGCTAAGTTGAGTTAGGCTAAGTTGAGTTAGGCTAAGTGAGTTAGGCTAAGTTAGTTAGGCTAAGTTGAGTTAGGCTAAGTTGAGTTAGGCTAAGTTGAGTTAGGCTAAGTTGAGTTAGGCTAAGTTGAGTTAGGCTAAGTTGAGTTAGGCTAAGTTGAGTTAGGCTAAGTTAGGCTAAGTTGAGTTAGGCTAAGTTGAGTTAGGCTAAGTTGAGTTAGGCTAAGTTGAGTTAGGCTAAGTTGAGTTAGGCTAAGTTGAGTTAGGCTAAAGTTGAGTTAGGCTAAGTTGAGTTAGGCTAAGTTGAGTTAGGGCTAAGCTAAGTTAGGCTAAGTTGAGTTAGGCTAAGTTGAGTTAGGCTAAGTTGAGTTAGGCTAAGTTGAGTTAGGCTAAGTTGAGTTAGGCTAAGTTGAGTTAGGCTAAGTTGAGTTAGGCTAAGTTGAGTTAGGCTAAGTTGAGTTAGGCTAAGTTGATTTAGGCTAAGTTGAGTTAGGCTAAGTAAATTTGGCTAAGTTGAGTTAGGCTAAGTTGAGTTAGGCTAAGTTGAGTTAGGCTAAGTTGAGTTAGGCTAAGTTGAGTTAGGCTAAGTTGAGTTAGGCTAAGTTGAGTTAGGCTAAGTTGAGTTAGGCTAAGTTGAGTTAGGCTAAGTTGAGTTAGGCTAAGTTGAGTTAGGCTAAGTTGAGTTAGGCTAAGTTGAGTTAGGCTAAGTTGAGTTAGGCTAAGTTGAGTTGCTAAGTTAGGCTAAGTTGAGTTAGGCTAAGTTGAGTTAGGCTAAGTTGAGTTAGGCTAAGTTGAGTTAGGCTAAGTTGAGTTAGGCTAAGTTGAGTTAGGCTAAGTTGAGTTAGGCTAAGTTGAGTTAGGCTAAGTTGAGTTAGGCTAAGTTGAGTTAGGCTAAGTTGAGTTAGGCTAAGTTGAGTTAGGCTAAGTTGAGTAAGGCTAAGTTGAGTTAGGCTAAGTTGAGTTAGGCTAAGTTGAGTTAGGCTAAGTTGAGTTAGGCTAAGTTGAGTTAGGCTAAGTTGAGTTAGGCTAAGTTAGGCTAAGTTGAGTTAGGCTAAGTTGAGTTAGGCTAAGTTGAGTTAGGCTAAGTTGAGTTAGGCTAAGTTGAGTTAGGCTAAGTTGAGTTAGGCTAAGTTAGGCTAAGTTGAGTTAGGCTAAGTTGAGTTAGGCTAAGTTGAGTTAGGCTAAGTTGAGTTAGGCTAAGTTGAGTTAGGCTAAGTTGAGTTAGGCTAAGTTGAGTTAGGCTAAGTTGAGTTAGGCTAAGTTGAGTTAGGCTAAGTTGAGTTAGGCTAAGTTGAGTTAGGCTAAGTTGAGTTAGGCTAAGTTGAGTTAGGCTAAGTTGAGTTAGGCTAAGTTGAGTTAGGCTAAGTTGAGTTAGGCTAAGTTGAGTTAGGCTAAGTTGAGTTAGGCTAAGTTGAGTTAGGCTAAGTTGAGTTAGGCTAAGTTGAGTTAGGCTAAGTTGAGTTAGGCTAAGTTGAGTTAGGCTAAGTTGAGTTAGGCTAAGTTAGGCTAAGTTGAGTTAGGCTAAGTAAGTGAGTTAGGCTAAGTTGAGTTAGGCTAAGTTGAGTTAGGCTAAGTTGAGTTAGGCTAAGTTGAGTTAGGCTAAGTTGAGTTAGGCTAAGTTGAGTTAGGCTAAGTTGAGTTAGGCTAAGTTGAGTTAGGCTAAGTTGAGTTAGGCTAAGTTGAGTTAGGCTAAGTTGAGTTAGGCTAAGTTGAGTTAGGCTAAGTTGAGTTAGGCTAAGTTGAGTTAGGCTAAGTTGAGTTAGGCTAAGTTGAGTTAGGCTAAGTTGAGTTAGGCTAAGTTGAGTTAGGCTAAGTTGAGTTAGGCTAAGTTAAGTTAGGCTAAGTTAAGTTAGGCTAAGTTAAGTTAGGCTAAGTTGAGTTAGGCTAAGTTGAGTTAGGCTAAGTTGAGTTAGGCTAAGTAAGTTAGGCTAAGTTAAGTTAGGCTAAGTTGAGTTAGGCTAAGTTGAGTTAGGCTAAGTTGAGTTAGGCTAAGTTGAGTTAGGCTAAGTTGAGTTAGGCTAAGTTGAGTTAGGCTAAGTTGAGTTAGGCTAAGTTGAGTTAGGAGTTAGGCTAAGTTGAGTTAGGCTAAGTTGAGTTAGGCTAAGTTGAGTTAGGCTAAGTTGAGTTAGGCTAAGTTGAGTTAGGCTAAGTTGAGTTAGGCTAAGTTGAGTTAGGCTAAGTTGAGTTAGGCTAAGTTGAGTTAGGCTAAGTTGAGTTAGGCTAAGTTGAGTTAGGCTAAGTTGAGTTAGGCTAAGTTGAGTTAGGCTAAGTTGAGTTAGGCTAAGTTGAGTTAGGCTAAGTTGAGTTAGGCTAAGTTGAGTTAGGCTAAGGTGAGTTAGGCTAAGTTGAGTTAGGCTAAGTTGAGTTAGGCTAAGTTGAGTTAGGCTAAGTTGAGTTAGGCTAAGTTGAGTTAGGCTAAGTTGAGTTAGGCTAAGTTGAGTTAGGCTAAGTTGGGTTAGGCTAAGTTGAGTTAGGCTAAGTTGAGTTAGGCTAAGTTGAGTTAGGCTAAGTTGAGTTAGGCTAAGTTGAGTTAGGCTAAGTTGAGTTAGGCTAAGTTGAGTTAGGCTAAGTTGAGTTAGGCTAAGTTAAGTTAGGCTAAGTTAAGTTAGGCTAAGGTAAGTTAGGCTAAGGTAAGTTAGGCTAAGGTGAGTTAGGCTAAGGTAAGTTAGGCTAAGGTAAGTTAATCTAAGTTGGGTTAGGCTAAGTTGTGTTAGGCTAAGTTGGGTTAGGTTAAGTTGGGTTAGGCTAAGTTGGGTTAGGCTAAGTTGGGTTAGGCTAAGTTGGGTTAGGCTAAGTTGAGTTAGGCTAAGTTGAGTTAGGCTAAGTTGAGTTAGGCTAAGTTGAGTTAGGCTAAGTTGAGTTAGGCTAAGTTGAGTTAGGCTAAGTTGAGTTAGGCTAAGTTGAGTTAGTCTAAGTTGAGTTAGGCTAAGGTAAGTTAGATCGCATCATGCGACACTATGACCTACATGAAGCATTGTATAGGAAAAAGTTTCTTGATTTAAAACTGATCAGACGTTCACTGACTATTTTTCGGAAGTTCAGAATATTTTTGATAAATGGATTGATTCGGCCAATGTTAGATATAACTATAAATTATTAGTAGATTTATTATTAAGGAACAACATGTTGGAATCTTTACCTAAACCTATGTCAACCTTTTTAAGAGAAAATAAACCAACCCCATTGAAGGAGTTAGAAAACTTGGGTGAAAATTATTTTTCAGCCCATCGTGAAATTTTCATTTCCAACCCGGTACCAGATATTGAAACTGGAGCTAGTGCCAGTTATGACAAAGGCAGATACAACCAAGGGGCAAACCCACACAAAAACAAAACCACGTTCAACAAAAAGTGGCAAATTATGTACTGCAAATATTGTCAAAAATCTCATCCAAACGACAAAATGTGTGATAAAAATCCGGGGTATAAAGACTATGTAGACAAACTGTTCAATAGAAGAACACAGAAGTTGAGATTGTATAAAGATGCCATTAAATGTTTCAATTGTGGTTGCTATAATCATTTTAAAAGAGACTGTTTATTTAGAAAAAAATTTAAGGAGAATATCAGTATGGAAAGTAGTGAACATGAAAAGAATAAGACCACAGTATGCAAGGATAAAGGTATGAAAGAAGTAAAGAATGCAAAACATGAGAAAAAGTTATTAGGTGTTAAAGAGACACCAATCGTACTGAATGAAAGAGAAATGATGAATAGTGAGAAAGTAAATAACCCATCAAACCTAAAAGTTTCATCCAGTGTTAAATTATGTGAAAATGACAATTTTCAATCATATAATACTGATTTGATACAATTGTCTGACCCAAGTGCACCCCAACTAGCTGCTGCAGTAACCAGAAGCATGACTGATACCATACAACAAAAGCTAAAAGAAGAGAACTTAACGACTGAACTGGTACCCATTACAAAAGAAAGCAGTAACAGCCAAAGAGAATTTCAAGATGCCCAAGTATCTGATCCATCACTAAAGAAATGTTTTGATTTGGTTCATACAGACCCAGTAGTAAAGAAATTTGCAACATGGAAATTTATTTTATCAAAGAATGTACTACTTAGAATATATCAGAAAAGTCCAAAAGTCTATAAACAGACGGTACTACCACAAAAATTCAGACCAAAAGCTCTATCATTAGCACATGATTCCATCTTCTCTGGGCATATGGGAATAACAAAAACCAAGAAGAGGATTCTATCTACATTTTATTGGCCTGGGTTTTCTAAAGACGTAAAAAATTATGTTCGATTTTGTGATACCTGTGCTAAAACCACAAAAAATGGTTGCGTTTACCATTTGGTTTAATAAACGCTCCGAAAATTTTCACAAAAATGGTTAGGAAACTGTTATATGCAATTCCTCACGTCACAGCATACATGGATGACATCTGTACACACACCAAAACATTGCACGACCACTGCACTACCCTACAAAAAGTCCTATCAAGAATAAATGACTCGAAATTGACAGTGAATCCTTTAAAAACTGAAATTGCATACACCAAAATTGATAACTTAGGACATGTTATATGCAAAGGTTTAGTCCAGACAGATGAAAACATTGTTTCGAAAATTTTAAAAGATCCAAAAACCTAAAACTAAAAAGCAGCTCCAATCTCTACTAGGGTTAATAAACTATTATGGTAAATTCATCCCAAATTTAGCAGCACTAACATCACCACTATCAGAGTTATTAAAGAATCAACAATTGAAAAAATCAGATTGGAATGAAACACATGAGGAAATTCTAATTAAAATAAAAAACTGTTTTTCAAAATATCCTATTTTGAGACAACCTGACCCTTCAAAAAGATTTTTTTTTTACAATCAGATGCCAGCGGTCACACAATAGCTAGTATGCTTGCGCAGAAACATTCACAAACATTACTCCCAGTAATGTATATGTCACAGAAACTCAACCAAACTCAACAAAAATACAATACATTTGAACGAGAAGCGTTGGCACTAGTCATTAGTCTAAAAAAGTTTCAGAAGTTTTGGGAAAAGAATTCACTATTTTGACAGATAACTTGGGGTTGACAAAATTATTAACAATTGATGCCAATAGCAATCCAAGGGTATATAGATGGGCATTGTTGATATCACAATTCAAATTTAACATTGAACACATCAAAGGAACAGACAATCATTTACCAGATATCATGTCACTTTTGTAGAATATGTTGCAACTGCTATTACAACTTGTATTAACTGAAATCATTTTATGCAAGGGTATACATTGTGTTATTGAATGAATGTATCATGTGAAATTACAACTTGGAAAAATGAATATGTTTTGGTTTAATCGGGTATAATATAGTAAACAATTAGAATTAAAGGGAGACAACATTCAGGGTCAAAATACACCTCACCAAAAAGGATGTTAACATTTTTTGGTGTACTTAATTAAATTGGTGTCACATTGAATAAGTAGGTTAATATGATATGTTGTAGTTTCTGAAGACAAGATAATTAACTAAATCTGGTACCTTGCATATTTGGGAACAGACCATACATTGCTGATTTAGCCATTGTTGGGGGCTTTCATGAATGGGAATAGCGAGGGTGGGACTTCATGGGGTCACACTTAGGTTTTAGAGCCAAGATTTTGGACTTCCGCACCAAACGGGGGGTGCCTGGAGAGGGGTTCGGTTGTATACCGACTTTAGAACTGGGTGGGGATACCTATGGAGCCAGATTAGTGGTCTTCCGCACTAAAAAGGAAGTGCCTGGAGTGAGGATCCCATTAAGGTATTCACAGTCGTGGAAAGACAGATGGCATTTTACATTGTTGAGTTGTTAACCTAATGAGGTAAAGGGAACTTGGTTGGAAATGAACTTGTCGAAAATGATTCACTACAAAGGTCTAGAATCAGCATATTCAGTGAAAGATCACACCTGACTGATTGAAAATGTAAAACATTTTTTTGGGGTGGGGGAGAATGTAGTGAGTTCCTTTTCTCCCCATTAATTTATGCCCGACAGATGACGTCAGTAATAAATGTAAGGGGAATGTTTTGACTGACTGGGATAACACAAGATTTGTGTCTGAGTTTCATGGGAGACATCTGAAAGTCAGGTTTTATGTGAAACATGATTGTTCACGTGAACCATGAAGGTTGACTGGCAGGCTTCGCGTGAAATGCGAATTATCACGGGCCAGACACGATTTTCAGCGGTGGGGAATTCGTGAGAATGAAGTTATACAGAATATTCGAGAAGAACATGACAGAGATCAGAGGGCTATATAATAGCGGAGAAAGGATTGAGAGGCAGTCTCGTTTAGGCCAAGGGAATGTGTACGTGAGAAGATGAAGTCCGGAAGAATGTTGGCGTCTGCATAGCGTGATTTCCCAATGCCTACCTAGCATGAAATAGCGGCTGACGGAAACGGTGGCCAGCTGTGAATGACTGTCGTCTGGTTGGATGGAATTACTGTGTTTCGCTAAGTTGTGGGATGAATTCTACGATGTTACAAAGGTATGACTGACTGTTTAGATCATTGAATAAGTAATCGATGAGTGATACTGTTGTGTATGAACATTTACTGACTGCAACATCAGCGAGTGAAAATAAACGGTACGTGTAACTTCTGAACGTCTGCCAGCGTCCATGTTTTCTCGTTCTTGTCAGTCGGTGAATGGATGCATGCGGTGACTCATTCGAGCCAACAATTAATAATAAAGAAGATCATCGCACTGTTAAAGTGGTCACTGCTGTAGAGAGATCAGTATCGGCTGTGGGATCACATATAGTTCGACCGTTCTTGATCGCTAGAGAAGCGGATTTGAACTTAGACCTTCCCCTGTACAGACTAAATAGCCTATGCCCTAAATAGCCCACACATACTGGTAAAACTAATAACCTTACAAGTGTGTACTAGTTAAACTAACTAAAGAAATTTGTGCATACGAATGGGGACAGAATTTAGGTCAGGACTTGGTCTGGAGTATGTGAGTGTGTTTGACCCAGATCAATGTATGGGTAGGACTGGCTTGAGAGTCGTGGGGAATAGAGGTACTGACGGTAAATATTGGTGCCTGTGTGCAGATGGGAGGGGGAGAGAGATTGATATATGTGTTAGAGTGTCTATCTATCTTCACTATATATCTGACTTTCCATCTCTTGCACTAAACAGACAGATGAATGATAGGAGACATGTGTCTCCTAGTCCTGAGAGTGCACTCTGAGGAATGAAACAGAGGAGCAGAGGTAGAGTAGGCTGATGTGGGATGGTGACTGATACTTATTCTGTCTTTCCTGTCAAAATGTTACCCTCTTGGTGATGACTAATTCTGAGTTATTTCTTGGCAGGATGAAACCTTTGTGAAGAGCGGGCAGAAGAATCACAGTCCAACCAACACCCACCAACCAACCATCAATATATTAACCCATTACCTAAATATTATCACCAAACTACCAATTGAGAAGACTGTTTTCCTCAAGATGGGGTGCCATATACCCCAAACATCATCCAGTGCCAGAACATGTGTGTAGCTCAGGGACAGTGCTGCGAATTACTCGTGGGAGAAGGTGCTGTGTGCCTATCCAGTTGCTGTGTGCCTATCCAGTTGCTGTGTGCCTATCCAGTCGCTATGTCCTTTATGGTAATGTACTTCACCACCAGCTGATCCAGTTGAGGCAGAGTCACCAGAGACAGTAGAATCATCAGGAGCTGAGGGAAGCATCAACGACAGAAAGAGGATAAGTGACAGGCTATGCCATGTTTTGCTATATTCCTCACAGCTCCCATGTTTCCCAAGGATGAAAATGTGTCATCTCCAGGACCTTCTGTCTGTGTAATTTTGGTGATCTGGACATTGTATTCTGGAATCCAGCTATTGAGATCTGGCATCTACTTCTCTATTTTATATATGTGAATGTTATATTGATTACATGCATTCATTTTCGTGGCTGACTTAGGTGTCTCTATTTCACCTTTTTAAGTGTTCAGCATTTGTGGGTGTATGAATCTTAACTATATGTGTTAACATGGTTATGATATTGAACTATCATAACCTGGGGGCTTTCTTTAGTAAGTAGTGGGGGTGTCCAGCCAAGTGTGCCTAGGAATATTGTATTCATATACATATATATTTTGTAGTGCCAATAGAGTTGCCCTACTCCAGAAATAAGTTGAGCGTATATTGGCCACGGGGAATCTCTTAGACCAATACGAGCCAAACGACTCAACATAATTATTTCTGAGTGCTGTTGGTTCTGAAGGAGAAATCCTTACATCAGGCACGTGACAGGAGTGATATGTGACAGATGTGAATGAGCGAGTAATTAGGAAGAGACGTAAAAAGAAAATATAGGAAACCAGACAACTAGACGACAAGCACAGAAAGAAAACTCAGGTAAAATTATTTGAAAGTGACTTTTTCTTAATTGTTTTGTGGACATCAAAATACATAGAATGAGCGCATTAGAAAAAAAAAAGAGGAGGGGGGGGGGGATATCCTAGCAGTCCCGTGTTGCAGATTTTCCCACTAGGGTGCAAGCATTCGAAACGGCGTCCCCAATAGCTTCGCGCTGTCAGATCAAAAGTTTGAACTGTAGTTTGATTTCGATACTTATGCCGACCCCCCTTACGGCACCACCTGACGCGGCTGCCTCTCTGTATCATACAATGGCAGGGTCCTGGATATTAGCCTTAAAGAAACAGGAAACGTAAGCTGAAAACTTCATATCATGGCAGGGCCAACAAGGCCCTTAGCCTTGACTGGTAGTTGGTCTAAGAGGAAAGTTACGACCAGCGGATTGACAAAACGCTGCTCACTGATCCGGCAGATCCTGCCGAGCGCCTTTACTCTAAACATAATGGTGGTATATTCCCTTTGGCGTAAACAGGACAGGTCGATTGGTGGATCATCCTGATGCAAGGGCAACACATGCTGACCTGACATTGTGCCATGGGAAGAAGAAACTTTATAACTGGCTTTAATTGTTCTCGAAAACAAATCCAGAGGCAGACGTTACGGGATATAAGTCTTT